CAATATGCCGTTATGTAATGTCTCATATTAATTCAAAGCAAATCATTTATGCACAGAACTCCCTTATTAAGCCAGGGTCCTCCGGAAAAGCCTTCGCAAATAAACGATTTAATGTAATCAATTTATGCTGCTGTGGGAACATTATTTTAATTTCCTCTCAAGTGACTTGTGCCGGTGCGCTGTGTGAAGACAAACTCTCAGCCTGTGCCCTGCACCGTGTCAACTTTATGATGATGGAAGCTGCCATAAAATCACAGCAAATCTGTTTGGATGGTGTGCATGTGACAACCCTTATAGCAATCGGTCGAAGCATGTTCTGTTTTCCATGCTGAATACAAACCAGAACATGCTTTTCAAAAGGACTCGTTTGATTATTTTTCAGAAGATTTTCCATTGACTTTCAGTCCTCCAGCTCTGATGTGGCTCACCACTACAGAGCCTGAAAGAGTTGGTCATATCAGCCATGCAATATCTGACACCTGCCTCTGAAATGTTTTCGACCCTGATGCTTTCCAGGTACAATCAGCACCAATGATCTCGGCTGGCCAAGTGCACTCAGTGCACTTGCACAGCATGACAGATGTGGCTTCATTACTTGACCTTGTTCTGCAGCATTCGTATCACAGAGTATGAGCTTACAGCTTTGTGAGACAGGATAATGGATGTGGTCTATTGTAAAATACAGAACCTACTAACCTAGTTTACATTCACTGTTTGTTACAGTGGTCATGATAATACTGTCACAGGTGTGAATTCATGCACCACTTTTAATAAGACATTGTCATTCTTTTCAGTATACAGTCATGTCTTTTCTATGAAAATTGGACTGAGAGATTGCATGTTATGTTTGCAATAGTGTGTCTTATTATGCTGGCTGTAACTCAAATCAAATCAAATGATAATCAAATAACAAAAGAGCATTATAACCAGCATATATCTGCCACAGTGAGGTTATTGCGCAAACATTTGCTGGCTATCACTTGATTGAAGATCTAAACTAGACACGATAGATTAGCTTCAACGTCACATTGGGTTTGGCATGTCTTTATCATATTCCATATTGTGGACATTATCAGAAGATTGTTCTTGGCATCATATTCATTGACAAAAGTGCTCGAGACATGTTAGGTGCGTAAGCGTTTTAAAGTGTTTTTGAAATAGGCTCTTATACTTACCAAAGCTGTTCTTATTAGATCAAAAATACAGAAAAAACAGTAATATTGTGAAATATTATTTCAATTTCAAATAATGTTTGAATATATTTTAAATCGTCAGTTATTTCTTTGATGGCAAAGCTGAATTTTCAACAGCTGATCCTTCAGAAATCATTCTAATATGCTGATTTGATGCTCAAGACACATTTGTTACTATTATTATATGCTGAAAACAGTTGTGAAGTTGTGAATATTTCCAGGAATCTGTGAAAATTATTAATTTTTTTCTTTCTAAACAAATAAAGTCTAATATGTTTTATTAATTCATTTATTTATTTAAGCAGGGATCAGGTCAGACTCATGGGGGCTAATATATTAACATGCTATATAACTCAGTTATTGTTCACTCCCATTTTTGGAATAAATTAAATGTAAATTGAATATAGCACTATTTTGTTCACCATGGTTGTGTCATTATCTGATTTCCATAATTTCTTCAGCGCATACTAATAAACAAAGTTTGGAATCCTTCAGATTAAGTATAGAGCCGCAGATACTGCATATAACTAGGAACAACACAATGTTCAGAAAACGTCCACATATTTTATCACTAGTACTTCTGGTGTTTAATAGTATCTTATATTCTGTCCTTTTGTGACTGCAGCTTATTTGCAATAAAATGGTTTCAAATGCTCTTTCTCACTGGGAAAGATTTAAGTTCTGAAAGTATGTTTTGAACCCTTTAATCTCAAAGACAGTTTGACCATGAACAATTTAAAAATGAATTCACTTACAATTTGGAGTACCGTGGTTTACATTTCTTTATTAATACTGAGTCCTCAAAAAAGCAATTGTATGGAGATTATGTAACAGGGTTTGTGGATTTATTAAAACAGTAGTGAAACATGGTTCAACCATAATCATAAAATCATCTAACACCAGCCCCAAGAACAATGATATGAATTAATAAGTTCCTTCCGTTGTGTGATTTTGAAGGAAATTACTTGCCAAAACATTAGCTGCTAGTCTAAACAAACCGTTTGGACTGAGACAAAAAACCTGCAATTAGGTGATAATAGTGTTTGCAGAAATTCCTGCTGGCATATCAGAGACTTTGCTTGCTTTCCTGTCTGGCAAGGGTGTCTATTAGGTTAAAATTGGTTAATTTTGCTGAAGGCAAGAGCAATTGTTGTACACATGCCCAATCATTGGGCATAAATGGTATCCGAACATGATACACAGCAAGTTGAGATTTTGATATGAGCTTTGCACCGGGAGAGAGCCCGTATATGGAGTTTTGATCAGTATAATGATTACCCAAAAAAGACACATTTTTATAGTAGATGTGTCAGATAGTACTGAACAACCAAAATAGTCACTCTATACTTAATGCACTTATACTGTATAATATGAAAGCATGTTTCTCCCACATAAAAAAAGTAATTCTAATAAAATAAAAAGGTAATTGTAACTTTTTAACTATATTGTAACTAAACTTTCACAATTTGGACCTTTTTTCCTCACAGTTCTGAGTTTATATCTCACAATTCATACTTTTTTCTCACAATTCTGATATAAACTCAGAATTCTGATTTTGGTTTTCACAGTATATAGAATTGTGACCTTTTTCCCCTCCGAATTTTGGGTTTGCATCTCGTAATTCAGACTTTTTTCTCTGAATTCTGAGTTTACTTTTGAAATTCTGTTTGTTAAGAAAATGTAATTGGCGTTTTTTTTTATCTCACAATTCTGACATTTGTTCTCGCAATTGTGAGTTAATATCTCACAATATTGAACACATGCATTGTATAATACGCGCCCTTTCTGAAATGCTTAATTCTGATTGGTCCATTTCGGTGGTGCGATATTTCCTAATTGTTCTCTGTTGTCAATGGTAACACTGTATATCAACTCATCCAGATAAACAAACGGCGCTGATGTCTCTATTGTGTGGAAATTAAAGGATAATATAAAGGTTATATTATACAATTCAAATCAGTATTCATGTCCACTGTGACAATACAGTCATCAGCTCAGCGTTGGTGGGTTTATTTTACGCATGTTTCCAACACGTCTGGCTCTCCAAACTGACATTTATATATACCTTGTATTCCATGACGATCCTATTTGATTGCAGTGCTTGACAGAAAGACAACACTATTTTCTGCATCTAGTGATGACAACGCCTGTGATGAACAACAGACATACATACAATAGGCCAGAAGTTCAGTCAGACAAGCCTGTCGCCTACCAACTGCTCCATGTTTGTCCAATCCATGAATATTGCCACAGGCCACGTTTGCATTATTTAGCATAGAATATTTGAATAATGACATCTATTTCACACTAAATATATCTGGAAACAAAGAGAAAATGTTTAAACATTGCTGTAGCGTGATGCTCCTATTCTCACACTTTGTTTATATTTTGTAAAAATAGATTGTGTGGGGTTGTTATGCAAGTCATATGCAGACCATATGCTACCCAGATTTAAAAAAAAAAAATGCTTCATAGCATAGCCTGTTTTATTAATGACCCATTTATTGTAGCATGGCAACTTGCTGTATGCTTTCATTCGGATGAAAACAACATTCTTAAGTTGACAGTAAATCCCACCAAGTCAGGTGGTTGGGCTGATATTTTTTTTTTAAATGCATTACATTACAATGAGAGTTTAAACAAGTGCAATGCCCTTCTGGTCAAATGCTATTATGTAATTTTAGTAAAACACTGACTTAAATTATAGTTGGATGCAGCTGATTTATGCTAAGGGTGGTGTTTATGAAAAACAACAAAACTCCCCTATAAATCTTACATAAAACTTATTTTTGTAACAGCAACAGATCATATTGGTTCTCCCTTATAAAAAGTACTCAAACTACCTTTGATTGGGATTGGTTTACTTTTTTTCACCCCCCTTATTTTCATTGCATCCCTTTTTTTTAACTGCACAAAGAATGTTCTAGCAGATCCGTGTAATTGAGAGTTTGTTTAGTTGTCCGCAGAAAAGACAATACTGTGTCATTCCTCAGAAGGAACACCAGAATATGTTTTTTATATACTTTAATGACTTTGAGGAATGTGAATACACAGAAAGCAGTTAAATGCAAATAATGAGAATATTACATTTCATGCATGATCTCTCTAAATATGATTATGGCCATCCAAAAAAAAAAGTTATACTTCTGTTTAATAGATAACTAGTATTAGTCATTATGGTTAGACTGACTCTGTTAGATGAAGATCATAGTTCATCTTTAAAAAATATATATAACAAAAAAAAGTGTCAGTGTGTCAACCTTACTTACACTGAAAGTTGTTTAATGTTACTAATATTCAACATTTGTTGTACGTTACATGTACTTACTATTATAATAACAATAAATTATACATAATTGCATGCAAGTAACCCAAAACCAAACCCTAATCCTAACCCTAACCATATAGTAAATACATATACTGTAGTTAATAAATATTACTTAGTACTTAAATGTATAATTACACTGTAACAAGGACACCTTAAAATAAAGTGTAACTAAATTTACTTTTTACTTTAATTTTACTTTAATTTACTTTACTTTTACGTTTTACTTTACTATGTTTCTATAGTAATAACTAGTTGAATTGTCTGTTACTAGGCATAGATATAGATCTAAAGTGCTATGTATTGATGTTTCAGTGTTTTGGCAAGTTAAAAAATGTCCTCTCTTGTGTTGATTATCTCGCTCTCTCAGCTCCGATTGTAATTGCAAGCCAGGACTTGATTGGCTCTTCAGTTGTTGGCTTTGGGCCAGCAGAATTTCTCCATATAATAGAGGGAAGCAGGACGACAGCTTCTAAAAGAGTGAGAGAGCAGACAACTCCTGGTGGTGGACTAACTGTGCAAACCTAAAGTGAACAGCTCAGAAAATGTGTAAGGGATTAGCTGCCCTGCCCCAGACATGTCTGGAAAGGTAAGATCTTCAAAGCATCTTAGCATCATGGATTAATTTAAAATTTACCCCATGATATGTTATCTAGATAAGTCGGTTGGCAGCCTCCTTTGGGAATCAGTGCTTTGTTCTGGAGCAGCTGGGGATTCTCAAAATACCGTTTTGAGAAAGTCTGTATGGTGTTTTGTATTAGGTTTAGGTCTGAGTAATGATATGGGAAGACTTTATTCATTATATGGCGATTAAGAGTTGTCTTTTGGTTAAACATTTTAATTTATACAATGTAAATTTTATAGAAACTGAAGAATTGTATCTGTTGTATTGTAAATTTGTATTGTATTGTACATTTTACGTTTATCTTATTTTCCATTTAGATACATTTCAATTTTTTTTCCTAGTTTTTTCTCTGAAGACATCAAGGTTCCTCAATATTACCAAAAACCAGAACACCCTTAAAATTGTTTAGTTCTCTGTTAATTACAAGATTTGGTGCAGAATTCCTGAGAACAGACTTTCAGTATAGCAATGAGGACATTCATTGTGACTATTGAGCCATTCTCTGATCAAACAATTGTGCTATTGGCTCATTCGTTGTGTAAACATATGTTTATCACTGTTCTTGGCTTTGGTCTTAATGCTTGGCCCAGGGCCTGGAGTACTTCTGAAAAGTGTATTTGTACATCAGAAAGACGGTTTTAAGATGGCAACATGAGGTGGTTTATAATGTAGCATTATATAATTAAACCATAAAATCTTAATTTTAATATATGGGCTTTTAAGCTGTGAATTGTGTGTATTGACGTCAGTATTTTTGGAGCAGTAGATCTGTCTGTGGCAGCAAGATGTTCATGAAACCTCAACAAATCACCAAGTTTGTTGACGTCACTTCATCCACAGTCATCTGGGAGGAATATGTGCCTCCTCACAGATGAAAAAAAAAAACGTACAAAAGGATATTGCATCTGTCTTTAACTCTGCAGAGAGTGTGAAATAGTTCTGAATAGATGTGAATTGAACACCTTCAACATGTGTTGTTTTATTGTATCGTCTGTCAAAATGTGGTTATTACTGTACTGATATACAGGTCAATAATAAAAGCTTTCTATAGCTGACGTGCAAAAGGATAAAAAGACTAAACTAAACAAATGATCATTCTCTGAAAAACAATATGTGTACTTTGAGAGAAGAAAATAGATGACCCTAGGCTGATATTATATAATCTGTTGACAGGTATGTTGTACACTTTGGAAATATCCTTGACATTTATTTTGAAATTCAATTCATACATAACATGAATCATTTATTAGTGTACGTTAAAAGCGCTAATGGACATCTGTATGGATTTGTGTTTGTGCTGTCTTCAGGGCTAAGGAGATCAAGACTAAATTGGGAACTCTGCTTCAGAAGCCAGAGAATTCCATCGACCTTATTATCCCCTACCAAGAAAAGCCTGAGAAGAAACCAGAGAAGCTTCAGAAGTGAGTTCCTGTTGACTCTGTTAACTTTCCCTCTGATGTTATACTTCCGCTCTCTTTTTCTTTTCCTTACTGATGAGGACTTCAGCTCTGCATGTGTCTCCTCACATGCCTCACATGTTCATTTAAATAGAGCTGAACCGACCCTTCGAAATTGTTCTGTTTGCACTTAAAGGTGGAAATCTCAGGATGATTGTTTTATGTTTTCAGGTGGAAACTGTCCACCTAAAACGGTGGAAATCATCAACCATGATGTTTAAAGGTGGAAATCACCTCAGGATGTTTGTTTGGTTTTTTCAGGTGGAAATCATTCACCTGAAATGGTGGAAATCATCCACCATGATGTTTAAAGGAGGATGGTTTGATGTTTTTAAATAGTCATCCTGAGATGCTTTCCACCTTTAAGTGCAAACAGAACATTTCGGGAGCTCAGTTCAGTTCTATTTTGAAGTGCCTCAAGGGTCTCCAAATTGGTAACCACTGGTGCTTACTGGACAAAGCGGAAAATCCAAGGTACTCATGTTGTCGGGATAAAAAAAGCCTTTATTCCACAGGCCATTGAGAATCTTAATGTCATTTTTCAAGCACATTTCGACTAACAAGCCTTCTTCAGGGTGCATTACTATAGTCCCTGTTATATATTTTATGTCTTTGTAGTTAAATGCTGCTGTTCACCATGTTTTAACACATAAATAGAAATTTAAGTGGGTTTTAAAGAATCTGTATGAGATGTCACTAATGACCCCCATCAATTAGAAGCTTGTATTGTAGCTAACTCTTTTTAAGTATTCTGCTCTATTCAAGTATTCAAGCATTCTAACTTGAAAATTACGAGGTTCTTACTTGGGAAGCTACAGCAAAGTAGCAAAGTTCAGTGTGAATTCATCAAAAAGCATGAGAATAGAGCACATGAACTACCTATTTGTCTATCAATGCCCTTAATTACATAGATTATCAGATGTCACTAAAAGGTGGACGTGTAGAGAAAAGGGCTGAAGAGTAGAGAGCAAGGGAATCCTGTAATGGAAAACTGCAAGAGTCTGTTTATAATGAAAATTGTGTCCAAATTCACCGTAAAAACATTTGCAGACCACTTCAGCTCCTTTTAACTTACGTAATGCCTTATGCAAGTGTTGTTAATAGGGTTGAATTTTTTCAGGCAGAATAAAAAAACAAAATGAAATATCCCAATCCCAAGATGAGACATGTGCATAGAAAACACAGTTACATCAGAAATCAAGTTAGGTCGAAAGACTTGGATAATACCTATTTATACAAGTGATGTGGAAATCAAATTAAATTAGAACAATTTCTTTAGCAGATCATTAACTTGTTTGGTTATACTGAACAGTAAGTGCATATATTGCTAAAAATGTCCTTTACTTATTTCATATATCATATTTCTGGACCACATTACATGTAAACAATTATACCAATTATTGTGTATAGATACAACTTGTTGGCCATATACAAAGGGTAATACAACTAAGTGAAGAAATCTGCTTGTTTTGTTCAGACCCACACCTGAAGAAGCAGCCCAATGGCGCGAGTCCCTTGATAAGGTCCTTTCCAACAGCTGTAAGTATGATGTTTACCTTAATGGCCATTCGGTTGCATTTTGCATCTTGAAAGTTCTTCCAGGCATGAAGGTTTAGTTTGGTTTAGTTGAGTACGTAAAACACATTTTAAAACTTTGTTTATATTTGTCAGTTTAGAACCTCTGGAAGTCTATTAGTTGCACTGATGCACTTGATTCGGTATACGTAAACAGCTTGTGCTTGAACAGACACATTAACCTTTACAAGCTACACATCTACGAGAATGTTCCTAACAGAAGTTTATATCTATAAAAAAGAAGATTCTTTCTGACACACATACATAAACAACCATTTTCTAAATGACTTATAGACTTCTAGTGTTTTCATGTAGAGCTAATTATAACGACTAGAAAACTTTTTGCTTTTTTCAGATTTCGCTTATTCTAATTCTAATTCTGTGACCATCCTTATTGAAATTAAAGCTGCACTACATCACCTTGGCCTCTCTATCATCACATGTGGTTGAAACAAAAATTGCAAGGTAGATCTTCTCCATGGATGAATCTAATGCAAAATTGCTAAAAAAAATCCTATAAGAGGTATATCCAAAACATTTACTGCCGTAGTAGCCAGAAAATATTTTCCATATGCAAATGAGATAAATGAGGTAAACCTGAAATATCTCACCACATTGAACTTGATTGCTCAAAATATAAATTATTATTGTATGCTTAAGGCCCGTTCACACCAAAGACAACTAGTTTTAAAAATAATTTTAAAAGAACAGTCCACACCACAACTATAATTATAAAAGACGAATAACTTTAAAGAGTTTGAGCATTCAAAGCAGCAGACAGCAAAACAAGAATGTTATCATCTGTTGCTGTGAACACTATTTATCATTATAGTTATCATTCTTGGATTAAATGGGCCTTTGCTTTGTGAATCTACGTAAGTACAGAAGAACACAGTCTGAACAACGATTGCTTCTGTAGTCCAGCTTTAAAGTGTATTCAGTAAATGATCAAACTCTTCTTTATCATTTTCTGATTCGTTGTTGGTTCTTTACAAAAACCCTATAAATAAACAAAATGTCAAAAAAGATCCTTTGTCTGCACAGAAGGGCTGAATTAGTCAATTATAGTAGGAAAAACAAATGTTTGTTATTCATTCAATTATTTGTTATGTTTAATTATAACAATTTGCCTTGGAAAAAATTTTCATTTTATTTCAGAGTGGATTGTTTGCAGATTAGCCTAATCAGTTCGTACTGCATTATATATATATATATATACATATTTATTCAAATATAAGAGCATTTCTTTTGTTGACACTAAAACACCTCTATTATGTGCTTTGAAATGTATTTAGCCTTAATGATGTCTTTTTACACTGTTTGTTAAAATCATTCCCACACAAATAATTGCAAGTCTTAAAATAAATCTGCACTGAATAGTGAATAATTACATTGATTGTTCCACAGAGGTGAATCATGTAGTACTTGAATGCCACATGCTCTTATACAACATGGACTCGTGAGGGATTGCATTAAGGGCTGTGTGCCCTAGGCGTGCACGGCGGTAATGTTTGGATAAGGATGTTAAGAGCTGGTGAGACCGGGGTCTCCGGTGGCAGCGTGTCGCCAACACATTAGCACAAAAAGAACACACACAGCTGTACTCACTCTAATAGCTTTTCCACATTTTTAATTCCATAGATGGCCTGGCCACCTTCAAGAGCTTCCTCAGATCTGAGTTCAGCGAGGAGAATATTGAATTCTGGGAGGCTTGTGAGGGCTTCAAGAAGACCAAGTCCTCCCTGAAAATGGCCATCAAAGCTAAGAAGATTTATGAGGACTTCATTCAGACCGGTGGGCCCAAAGAGGTTTGTTTGTTTTGCCATTGATTTTTTTTTCTTCTGTGGTAATCACACTTAGATTTACAGTTCAAATAAAAGGCACAGTGCTTCAGAGGTAGAAGGAAGCAGTTCTCCATCAGACCCGTTATTCATCTCCTGTGAAAATATGTTTCATATCAGCTGTTTAGATCACTGTATAAACGCTGAGGCCAATGTTCTCCCTCCTAAATGGCCCCAAGGAGCTATAAAAAACTTGAAAATGATGGAGTATCTGTGAGGTTTTTTTTTAGTTAAATGAATTTTGATTAAAATGAATTGAACTTTAGGACATTGAGAAAAGTTATCAAAGCTCCACATTACCATAGATTTCCACTGAGGTATCGCTCCTTCAAGTTATTTTTTAGGTCAACATAAGCTTGTATATAACATTTTAGGCATGCTGTTTTAACTACATGATTGCTGGTTATTTATATTTGATATTTCAGCACCATAGGCTAGATATAACCTAATGAAGATGCAGTTTTCCACTTGAGTATTTGCCAGGTCATTTCATAGAATTTTTCTAATAGCCAAAAGGTTGTAGATTCTAACCCTGTGCCAATAAAACCCACTTTTAAACCAATGCAATTCTTAAAGGTTAAAAAATAATTTAGTAAACGATAATTTTACGTAAAAAAAAAAATGTTTGTATCAGGATGTTTGCACAGCCGTGTGCTAAGGTTTAAAGTATAGTTATGTAACAGCCATTAGAGAACACACACATGCAAACCTTGATAAATGTAACAATAGCCATTTGTTTCTTAGCGATAATAACGATTTTTAAAATCAATGAAATGAAAACAGTATCTCGTTGCCATTTTATATATAACTTTTTTTCTAATTCTGTGATTGTTTCCGCATCAATATTTGTAGTTACGTCATTTGTTTTAGCTCTGTTCATACTGTCACGGCGCGGTCAGGAAAGACACCGTGTAAGCAAGGGGTTTGGGTCCAAATGCAGGTTTATTTACTGCAGGGGAAAACAAAGGGTAAAACAGAAACACAAACAGAGCTAAGACTCTGAAACAGGCTTGAAACAGCAATGGACTCGGATGCAATACGGCCACTTGGCTTGCATCAGTCCCGGTACAAACACTATAACCCTAGTAACGCTCATGAAACAAACATTAATCATCCGCGCCCAGTGGCGTGGGGAAGGCGCATAAATAGTCCTCATGATGGGCCACAGCTGTGTGAGAGTGAGTGTGTGCACAGGTGTGTGGAGTGAAGGTGATGGAGTCCCGGATGGGCGACGGCTGTGTGTGTGTGTGAGTGTGTGCCCAGGTGTGTGGAGTCAAGGTGACGGAGAAGGAGTCCGGGAGGATGGGAGATGGCGACCTCTGGTGGTGAGAGGGAGAACACCAGACGCCAGCCCCTGACACATACAATATTATGATCAAACACTTTGATTTCACATATTACAATAAAACAAACCAAAATCTAAATACATTTAAATATAAAACAGTAATAATAAAAACACATATTCAAAACAAATGGACAAGTCCAAACAAGTCCAAATATAATAAATAACACAACTCAAAGACTTCTGAGGCATTTTTTCTATATCAAGTAATGTATGGAAATTGATATGGTCATGGTGATGTTTAGGAAAAAAAAATAAAAAAGAGTGCAATTCTCTAATCAGGCCTGTATTCGTAAAAACTGCAGGGAATCAGTCAAATTGGATGACTTCTTTCCGGAAGACTGACTGCTCCTCAGCCCCCCTAGAGTGCTGAGAAACTGTCAGAGTTGAAATAATGTGTTTCTTACTCATTATTTTTGGCCAATTTGAAGCATTTTGTGACTGACTTTTACACACTTCCTCCTTATCACCAATATCATGCTTTTAGGTGAACATCGACCACTGCACCAAAGATGTGACTCTGAGGAACCTGGTGGATCTTTCTCCCTCCACCTTCGAGCTGGCTCAGAGCCGGATCTACACCCTGATGGAGAAAGACTCCTTCGGTCGGTTCCTGCGGTCTGAGCAGTACCAGGAACTCCTCAAGTAAACTGACTTGTCCAGCTGCAGGGAGACTCATCACTTTGGTCACAAATTTATGTCACAGAAATCATTTTTACTCCAAGTCTTTAATGTACACTTTTTGACAAATTTCTAAAGCTCATTAAACGATACCACAGTTGGTGGAAGTGGAAAACATCGGGAACGGTTGCAATGTCTCCCTGCAGCTGACTGAACTGGCCCACTGCTAACAAGAACATCTTAACACAATGTGATTCCTGCCCAGTGCTCTGAATGTCAAAGTCAAGAACTTCAATAAAAGAAGTTGATTAGGGTTAAGAAACAGTATTGCTCCTTATAAAAGTGTGATTTGTCATTAGCAAACATTTAATTTGTACAAGTGCAAAATGCCAAGGATTTGAAGCGCCTCTTAAAATCTTGTATATATGTCCTATTAATTGGAGTCACACTCTTTTCTGACCCCTGTAGACTAAATAAAGACTAAAACTGATCCCCACTTGTAATTTATGGCTTTTCGGATAAGTGCAGAAGTGTTTCATGTACTTTTGATGAGGACGTTCTGACCCGAGCATCTAAGCAGCATGTTCATCAAGGGGAAGAGGCTGGGGAATGGGAACGGGAGATTGTGGGCTTTTTCTTGGAAATGTTTGCGTTAACATTAAAATGACCAAATGGTAAACCAATGGAAATCATGGGGAAACGACCCACTTAGTATTGAAAGCTAACTATAAGTCAAAGCTAAAAAAAAAAAGTGTGACATGTTAAGATGCACTCCAGTCTCTGGGAACTTGTTGTTTGGGTTACCGCTATTAAAAGTTGCTAAGATGGGAATATTAAGTAGGAGGGAATCTCTATAAAGCAATGGGCACATTGTTTTCTATTCTAAAGGCAATGTTTATTCCCATGCCACTTTAAAAGCAGAACACATTTAGATTAAGTCATGGAAACCCAAAACATCCGAGTGTTTTTTCAGACTTTCTACAACACCCATTTAATCACAATACCATAAATGTATAAGTTCCTATAAACTATTATACTCTAAATAAGAATGATTGCTGCAAAATGTTATTGAAGTTAACATCAATTATTTGCTCTTAGCATGTGCAGCCAGTCGTGAGTGAAGTTATTGCAGACAGAAAGGCATATCAAATATATGTAACCCACATGTGTGATATTCAGTGTTTTTTGCATGTTTTTATTTCAAGTGTGTTTCACAGACACATATACTCTTGCATGTTTCTTTATTATACTGTGTGTAGCTATGTCACTAAATCTAATAACCTTCATTCATAAATGAGCAGTGGTAGGTGCTTCCAGAAGTCCTTACTGATGTTCCAAAAGCCAATTATTAGTTCACTGCAGGACAGGTTTAGTTTAATATGGCTATCTAGGCATCACCAACGTAAAGTAAATTAAATAGAAATTGAATGAATTCAACAAGAATTAGTTACAATTTAATTAAATTTTTTAAATAATCTTTTAAAATTATTACATTGGCTTAAAAAAATACAGAAATTTTGTCAAAATTGTCAGTAAGGACTGACAGAGTACCTTGCATATTCAAGAAATCTGCATAAAACTATATGCATGTATGTTTGTAGTTGATCATATAAAATCCATAATCACATTAAAGTTCTGAAGATTATTTTCTTTCTTTTTTTCTCAGATGTACATATCAGCCATTATGAATGATTTTAATTTATTATCTTCAAGATTGCTTGTCTGTATGTTTGATCTTCAAGGTAAAAAAGTACTAAGATAAGAGTGTGTCCTTTCTGTTATTTATTAAAAAATATATATATATGAGGCCTGAATTTGTAATTGTCTTTAACAAGCAAGGCTAGTGATTGAACAGAGGTAATTCAGACACTTTAAAGTTAAGCTTTGTTTTCCTCCTCTGTATTATAATTGTTTTGAGTCATCATGGAATTATTCAGCATTGCTTAATGGTACTCCATTTCGGCAAGCATGGAATTTGAGTAATATCTGAAAATTAACATTTTGTTAAAATGCCAAATTTAAATAATAATGCAACTGTTTCCTGACTTCCTGTACAGCAAGCTAGCCACTCGGCCAGAGTGTTTAATTTACACAACCATGATAAGATGAGTGGATCAGTGTGAAGAATAGAAAGATATAAGAAGAAAGACAGAGGAAGAGAGAGCTGGAAAATTGAGATAAAGCAGATGGGCGATGAAAGGTTGCCAAAATAAACAATGTCAGACGCAAACATGTTCACATTCATTACCACTCTCATTTCTAGAAATAGATGTATGACTCGTGACTGGGGCTTAAACCCCTTGTGTACTGGCCGAACTGAAAAGACATTTCTTCAACCATTACTGAGTTGCATCAAAAAGGCACCCTTTTCATAAATGCCAAACAAAAGGGCATCTCCATTTTGCTTTGTCCAGACTATAGGTCAAGATCAGCAAAACTGTTCTTAATTAAATTGTTTTGTTGTGCTGCTTTTATCAAAGACATACAAGAACATAACTCATTTAATTTAAACAGCAAATGCACGCATCCAATTAATCTCCGCTTAAACAAGGTTAAACCCTTTCGAACATTCTGTTATGACAAGAAGGCGAATCAGAATATTAAATTAAGCCAGTGAAAAAGTACAAAATCACATACAGTGAACCAAAATAGTATTTGGACACTCTGAGCCACATTTAAAAATGTCTAAATGTATTTGTATTATTTATATTTACATGACAAAGTGCTAAAAACAGAAATGTTTCCTTTGCATTTTTGTTTCACGTATAGATGACAATGTTGTCAAAACAATCCCCACTCACACGGATCCACAAAAACAGCTAAAATCACTGTATTATGCATGCCAGGCCGGTAATTGGCAATGTCACTTTGGAAAGAAATATTATGCACATACTGTACCTTCGGACTGAACACAAATTCATGTTTCTGCAATATTTTTGCAATTATGTTTAACCTATTGGTCTCAATATTGACTGATGTGATAATGGATGTACACTATTAAAAATATATATTTTTTTTACGTTTTTGAAAGAAGTCTCTTATGCAGATCAAAGCTGCATTTATTTTTGTTTTAAAAAAAAGTATAAAAGTAATATTGTGAAATAATTAGAATGTAAAATTATTTTTATTTTATTCTTTTTTTTAATTTACATTTAATTTATTCTTATGATGGCAAAGCTGAATGCTCAGCAGTCATTACTCCATCACTGTCACTTCACTGATTAATACAATTTCATTTAATTTAAAACGTAATCATTCTTTAAGTAATTAAAAACAATTAAAATGAGTATTGATTTCAAAGTTTTACACAGCTGGAGTGTCAAATAGTCAAATTAACTAAGAACATTTTCTTCAGAAAATGTGCAAATACTTTCATCTTCATTTTTAACAATATATTGTTTTATAATTTCAATTAACTTGCTATTGTGAAATGTTTTGTTTGAACAGTGTGTTTGTGCTATGCCTCTAAAATAAATGCCTCAGGGTTTGACATTTTTGTAATAACATGCAAATATATTCATACATTATGTGTTCAAATACTTTTTATGGCCACTGTATATCTGTATATCCGTTCACAAATAGCCTGTCCATTCACATGCCAAATTTCTTTTTATGGCAGTGTTCATTCGACAACTGTGGTGGTGTTACCTCAGTGCTGAAACTATGTACAACAGTCCCGTTTCTTTCCATACCAGGGCCAAACAATATTAAATCTTATCCAGGTGTTAACACCAGTCTTACGACAGCTTGAGCTGCAGCTATAACAAGGTACAAGAGTGTGTGTGTGTGTGTGTGTGGACCAGGATGCTAATCATGCCCTTATGGCACAATAATGCTGTTCCTGCTATTTGCGCATACACACAAATGGAAACAAATGTGGCTCATACACACAAAAACAAAACCAGAAACCAGATAATGACTGCGCAGGGCTCAGATGGAAGGAGAGATAATGCTCTCTAAATACTCACGTCATATGGTCATTTGTGTAGTAAAAACAGACCGCTCTCATTAAAGAGACAGCTGTTAATTTGCAGTGTTTTGATGGCTACCAAGATTTACAATAGGTGAATGTAAATTCTAGAAAATCTAAATACTGAACTGGTAAGTTTGGCTTATAAAACATTTTTTTCTTTCAGCAAACACCCAAAAATCCAAAACAATGTTATTATATTGATGCAGCTATTTCCTTAATGCATTTCATACGCTCTCAGAAAAAAAGTACAAAGCTGTACCTACGGTGCCCCAAGGTAAAAAGCTACATCTTTTCACTTTATTTACCCGTAAATGGTACATATTAGTACTATAAAGTAACTGGATGTAAGTTTTTTACCTTGAAATATCGGTTTCAGAATAATTTTGTTGGTACACTGAGTTCTGTTCTGGGGTAAGTGGGTACGAATTTCCGCATAATATGGCGGATTGCTTTACGGTAGCAACAAACGCACATGTACAGCAATCCACTGTAATTACCACAGATATTTACGACAGTGAGTTCCACTGACTTAACTGTAGGGGGCTCCAAAGTCGCATAAATACATGTAACTACATCCAGTTGTTTTAAAAGCACAATAACGTTAACAACTATTAAAGAGATGTTTTGACAAAGTTATATTAAAGTTTTGCAGAGCTGTCATAAAAAGTGTGTCTCTCTTCTGGGGCCTCATTTATAAAATGTGCGTACGCACAGATTTGATCTTAGAGTGTGCGTACGCTAAAATCCACGGCAACGTTCATATTTATAAAAACGGTCTTTGACGTACACACTTTTCCTTGTGGCAAAGTCGGAGTACTGCAGCTATTTGAACATCTAAGCTGAATTAATAATAAAAGCGGTGTACGTGAAAGCACTGAATTCATCATAAACAACAAAGATGCAGCGCAAGAGATTAATTGTGCAGTGTGTTCAGGTTTTTTTATTAACGGGAGTTTTTGCGAGATTAAACTGACCTTTTTAGTAGCCTAATGTTGAGAGGTCTTTAATCGCTTTCTGTACACAGTTTATTCCATGTTGTTTTTTTTATTATTTTATTATTATTTTATTTAACAAGATTATTTCACTTGCGAAGTCTTGATTTACTACTAATG